AAGAGACACTACTACGGGCCGTAATAAATGTAAGGAAAAAAAATTCGCTTTTATACAAACGGAACGGTATTAATGGCCGTGTATTGTCTGTTTTGAAAGCGCGTCTTTTATTATTAATAATTTTTTTTTTTCTTTAGATTATTTTTAACATACATATTATTTTTATTATTATTATTCTATACAGCACTTCGTTGATTAAACGACAATAATGAGAGAATAATAGGATTAAAAATGGGTATCCACACACACTTACATACGGACCCACGCTGACGTCGGTCGTTGTCTTATTATGCGGCGGCGACGTTGTCGAACAATAAACCGCAAACGACGACGATGGTGAAAGACCCGCCCGCATGAGAGACAGCCACGAACAGACGGAGATAGGAGCACATGACCCTTCCAAGGGTTATGGCTGTTTTTTCCTGTTTCTATCCCGGTTATTTACCTTTGAGTGAACTATTTGGGTCTTGACGAGTCCACACATTACTCATTATTGTTCGGACTTTGCCGTTTCTATCAGTTGACACCCAAACAGTACCGGGCATGAGTCCAATATTATTCCCTGTAAAATACAAGTGATTCAGCATAATGAAATATCTTCTGTCGGCAATACAGTAGTGGGCCCTGTAGGAGCATCAGGGGTGGCTGCATCTCCCGGCAGCAATGGGAAACCTTAAAGCAGTCATAGGTATCATCCAAAATTATGAACACATAACTAAAGTTTATACGTGTAAATTTACTTTATAGAAAGTTCTTACTTTTGTATAACTACAAAGAGAAACTATTCGTAGTACAATAATCTTAAGAAATTGATATGGTTTTTTAGCAAGCCAAAAAAAAATTATTATTTCAAGAAAAATTGAAAGGTTAACGTTAAAAAAATCAACCTGTATGTTATTATTTAAATTTAATAATAGCAATTTTTTTCAACGTTGCAAGTACACTACTACTACTAATACAAAAACAGTATATTACTTTAATTGTTTGTTTGTTTCATTACAATATATTGGAAACGTTTTGACTATTAATTTTAAGTAAAATTAAAACTGTATTAAAAATATTATTAATTTACAAACTAAAAAATATTAAACTCAAAAGCCACAAAAAATTACTGAAAAGTCGCGGATACGTATTTCGGAAACAATGTTTCCATTATCCACTCTAAACACACATTGACTGGAGGGAAGAGGGGCTAAATTAATTGTTTTCCTTTTCAAAAATAATTTTCATATAACAATGAATTTTATTTCGGTACGTTTTCGGGGAGCTAAGCTCTCCTTAAGCCCCCTCCACCTTACGCATATCGTTACAAGACTAACGAGATATAACATATATTATTTGAGTTGGTTATACTGTGTTTATAAGCTTAGATTCTATGAAAAACACATCCATCCCTCCAGTAAAAGGTCATGGAACTGCCAACGCGGCAATAAAAAATAATAATCTTATTGTATCTATTATTTGGTTGAGACATGTTTTTAGAAACTTTCTAATTTGAAAAAAATCAATCTTTGTTTTTCGTTACCTAGTACCGTTACAGTTACTTGACAGTTCGCTATGACAAAAACAATGACGTGCCAAGACCACAGTGTAAAAATTCTGACCACTTATTTTAGGAGACAAAAATTATTCACTGACAAGTGAAGATCTTTTTAGAATATGATTATACTAACAGAACCAAACAAATAAATGTTAAAAAGGTAACAATAAATAAACTAAGTAACACAGCGTTGGTATCATTTAAGAGACTCCTATTGAATTTTTTTACTTCATAAGATTATTAGAAATTAAATATTTTATCAATAATAGTTAATAAAACGCATACGCCTATTTTTTAGTTGTTCACTCGATTTTCTACATGAAGGTATTTACAAACCCTAATAGCCTTTGAAGTGACCCTTTTTGAACCCTTTCCTCGCGGCGACCGCAAACCTCAAATTTCTGAACCCGCTTAATTGTAAAACAAAACATTCTTGTGTTATAGGTAACCCTATGGACACATAATAATATGCTTTGTTTTTGCTGCATTAGTTCGACATAATTAAGTGAACAGTTACCGACGACTTATTTATTAAACTTGTGTACACACACGTATTAAGTATACTCAATACTCTCGTTCGCATAGAAAACCGACCCTATGTGTTTGTACTAAAAACTTTTCGGGAAACATTAAAAGCGTCGGATGTCGGATGTATTATTCCAACGGTCGATTTGCTCGTTTGAATAATTGTTTTTGGTCGATGATTATGAGACGTTTGATTCCGTTACTAATTGTGTTTAAATTGATACAGCCGAAATATTATTAAGCAATCGCCGTGCTCAGGCAAAACGGTAACTAACTAAGCAACAATCGCAACGATCGGGTTTCGTATCGGCAATAAGCATCTCAAAATTATAATTAAAATTCAATTACACTCGTTACACCTACACAACTCGTAAACCAATATTTTACCTTATGCAACGTTATTGTGCGAGTCATTGAACGGTTTTCTCGCAGACTAGTTCAGCACCTTAAATACCACGATACGCGTTCACGTCATCATTATCATTTTTAGCATTACACAACTGCTGTAATTAATGTTTATAAAACATACGGCGTGACCCATGGGCGCAAAACTGTATCGCCGTGCTCATCGAGTTCATTATGATGTGTAAGATGTATAAATACGGCGAACGATGAGTCTTTGAAAACCAATTAAAATCCTAAATAGAGCTGTTAACCATTATTATTTTTTCCGCTCCGTTGGAACAACACATTATACTTTATATACATTAATGATCCCGTGCGAAACATAAATAGCATTTTTTTTGGTACGATTATTATTTCTTCTTAGGAAACATAATGAAAACACACGTTTATAGTATGCCTATATTTAATTGCCATATTGAATGGTACACATGGAGATGCCATTGTCGATGATGGCCGAGAAGAGAAGAGCATTTAATACACACACGAGTAACATAAAACATACGTTTTGTAATTTGTATACATACAATGTTGTAGATAGCAATCGCACACAATGTATTAAGTCAGTCAAAACACCGCGTCGGCCGAAACAATCGAACGGGATCAAATTAACGGAAATTCGATTCGGCAGCCGTATCGGCAAAAAAATAATAACACCGCTAGAGTAACGTATACGAATTTTTTTTTTATTGTTATTTATTGAAACCGTTTATGGCTCGCGTGAACAGACGGTACATGAACATACACACATACACACACACACACCTGTAGAGCGTCTCTATAACAAAACAGGTGATTCGCATACACACAATGACAAGCGATCGAGTCGATATCATTTAACCGTTCTCAATAACTACAAGTCGTGTACGGCCGATGCGGTCGTATTGTCTCTAGGTGGGGGGCGCTTAGGTATTATTGTTATGACACGGGATTATCGTTAAATTAGATTAGCCAAAAAGCATTTAATTTAATAAAAAATAACAACACCGTGTAGGCAAGTAAAAAGAGATTATAAGCGCGCTATTTTCTGCGATTGAGATTTCACGGATGATTCGCCACGACTCGTCTGTCCGCAGTTGGATTTCCGTAAGACATTCTCAGCCTAAGACGTGATGGCGCCAGATAATATTTCACTTTTTCATAACGAATTGTAATCGATTTTTACGATAAGATTTTTTTACTTGTTTAGACGAAACCAGTTTGATATTTTAAACAATTTGTTATTTTTTTTTATAATATTTAATTTCATTAAAAGTCAAGACTTCAAAACAATAAATAATAATAATAACAATCATTATGATTTGGTAAACACTGATTTTGTATTAAACGCTTAAGTATTGTTCTGACTTCTGATTGTTGTAATATATTTGTTTATTTTCTACTTTAAAAATATCAGACAAATTGTTTTTAAAATTATTTTTTTCTATACAAGGTCGCCGTGGTGGTATGCGAAACAATGTAATGATAATCCATACACACGACTCAAGTAATTTAAAATAGTTCATGCACTTTTAATTGTTCGTTTATGTTATTGTATGCGCGTAAAACTCCGATGAATAGGTACCCGTCAACTATGTAAGTAGATTATTGTATACATACTTGATATTATTTATATTTTTTCATACCAATTGTTTTCATCAACGGTGCAACTTGTTTGTTTTCTGAGCTAATAACAATAACGTTTAAGAAAAATAAGGTGAACGATGAAAAAAAATTATCTAATTAACAATCATTATTACATGGTAGATAATTTGTTCATATATCATTGGCGAAAATTAGTGAAATAAGCATTCTCGGTGTTAGCCCTGTTTACATGCATAAATTTCATAAACAATAAAAAAAAATGTTCGACATTTTTGTATTCCTGTTTTTATTTTCAATTAGAAAATTATCGATTACTGTGTTAAAAACATTTAATTATCTATGTGATTAGTACTTTTCTCGTTAAGTTATACATAATAAATTCTAATTACTATATTGATTTCTTTAAGATAACAATAAATTTACACACGTAGCTCTAAAACATCGTAAAATCACTATATGCTAACACAACGTGTAGCACGTGAGACCTTGACTTGTTTGAATAGACTCGATGAATTTTTTTTTTTAAGTGCGTCGTTTTTTCCTAAAAAACCAGTCGGGTCGAATTAATTGATGGTTAACATAGAAAAATGCAAATACCTTCCCCGACTCTTCCACCGTCCACTTACTGACATCGACGGCCGTTACGATTCACTGGTTCAGTCCATTGTTTTCGCAGTCAAAGTAGTCATGTAGTAAAGTAGACGGCAATATTGTAATGGTGCACGTAGAGCAGGACAGAAACGGAAACGAACGTTATCGCAACCGGTCGGTCCGTCAGTACAGAGTAGTAAATTGAACCGGAAACGCGATTCAAAAGGGATGGCGGGCTGCGGGGCAGAGGGCCTGATTGTGTTCGGTTATTTGTCTATTTCAAGTGCTTTTATACATACGTATTATTCGTCCTTTATTATTATTCGTTTTTTTAACCCATACATTATATTGATTATAGACGCTGAACACAGATACCACCGACCAGGGGCATTTATACGAGTGTCGGAAGACGTTAATAAAACAGCCATCACTTCTTCGCCACCCTCTCCCAATACGGCCAGTGCACAGCCGACCGTTGTTGTTTTGCTGCGGGTGGACGTGCGACTCGCATGCACGACGACGCGGACGACCGAGTCGCTCCGGTTCACCTGCCACTGAAAAAACACACTCCTACACCGGACACGCGTTATCGGACGTCTCAATCGCTTTTTACTACTTGCCGTGTATGCCTTTTAATTGAAACAATGGTCGAATTATATCCGCAAATATCAAATTGTCTTCGAATATTCATACGATGAGAGGTGGTCATGCGGGTTTGCAGGGTGCAACAGTTTTATTACTATTATTGACCCTCGTTACCATAACGAGCAATCGGTAAAACGATAAAATATCCTCAATTGCGATCATTACAACGGTAGAGGTCAAATCCTCAAGAAGAATAATTTACTGAGGCCAATAAAGAGCAAACAAAAATATTCTCGTCGTTACTTGGCGTATGCTGTAAAGGTCTGCGAATAATCAAAATTCTGTAAATATCGATTCGCCTTAAAGACACTACAGGGCAATTACTAGAACAGTTGGCAAGCTTTCTCACGTCGATGTGACGATTATTGTAGTAAAACATATTCATGTAAAATTTGCTTAAAGAAGAGACATCCTCTACACTATATGGCTTACAAATAGCCGAACAATGACCCGGCCCGACTGGCCTAATCGTAATGTTCCGAAATTAATTACATTTAAACCCATCTCGTGTTCACCTTGTAACAACATATATCTATTTCAGTACAGGTGTGTTCACTTTAAGCATTGAAGCTATAACTACTACAAAAATATTAATTAGGTTATTTTGTACTAGTACAAGTGCATAATACAGTACATTTTTTAGAACTTGCGAAAAAATTGTTTAATTCTCACCATTATTGTTTCGGTTTAGTTAATAAAATCCTGTTTTTACTATTCTAGTAAAACAATAGGAATGTCCAAGTTATAATTTATTAAAAGTTAATGCGCTCATTAATAGGTATATTTCATAGTTTCTATGTTCGTTTTCTTTTGGCTGTTTAAATGTAAATATTCTGAGCAATTAAAATTAAATAATAAAAAATATTTATTTATAACGAAATACAACTGTATCTTCATACACCGTTTTTATAGTATCACAACTATATTTTTATTACCTAATATAATTATTATTCCGTTTAAAATATATTTTTTTTTATATTATATGCTTATGATATTGATCTCTTATTATAATTGTATTCCTCATAAATATAATTTGCTAATTTCAATAAAATATGCAAAAGGATAATAAAACAACACATCATGATCATTGTACATAGTAGACAGATCGGCGCCACTGGGTTTCTGGGTCCCAGTAACCCAGTCCGAAACAGCTGCTTAGATGAACAACAGTGCAAGTTCTGAAGATGAAAGACATTGAAGTACATTCCACACAGTTCGATTGAAGACGAAACGGTGATAGTTAATAAATACAATTCTTTAAAGCAAAACATTTCACCGTTTATATACACAATATGTACCATTACTAATGTTTTTTTTTTTATTGCAAAGTGTTTTAGAAAAATCAGTGTAATCGAATACAAATCAAATATCGAAATAGACACAAATGAAAACAAGAAAAGAAACATCGAGTATAATGACCTCTCATCATTTAAGAGCATATGAGTGTACGTATTGTGTTTTTTAAAAAGAGACGCATCATTCCAAGTATATTGATGTGAAGAAATAAGGAAAGAGGACAATCACCTGAAATAATATTAATTTTCATGTGAAATTGTCAATAACGCAGAAAAAAAGAAATGAAACGATGAATTAAAAAAAAAAATTAATAACATTACGATTGTTAATTTAAAAATTATTCTTTGGCAATATGCAAGTTTTAAAGTACAAAAATATTGCTCGGCCGGATCCATGATACTATTACTCAATAATTGATAATTCATTTCGATTTAGACAATATTTAATCGTTTATTGAGTTTGTTAAATATCATTTAATACATTTACTCGCAGTAAATGACATCATCATATTAGATAAAAAATTCGTTTTTTTAGACTTGGAAATATTAATAAACATTAGTTTTAAAATAGTATTGCATTACAAACTAAAAAAAAAAAAATAATAAAACATTAAAACTACACACTATTAATACTTTTTTTTAGTACATGTTAAGACACTTAGTCTGTATACACAATTTAAATTATAAGTGTAATAGATGGAACCCATAATAATAAAAATAAACAACAGCATACGTTGACAAATATTTTACTAAACAAACATTTTTTAATTGACAAAAATATAAAAAAATACGTACAAAAAGTGTCATTAATATTAATTTACAATATTTGGTAATATGATTAGGTTTCTTGTACCCTAAAATATTATCTTCGTAAAATTAATTAACAACAGAAGTTCATTAGTGTTCAATTATACTATTTTAATGCAACATGTTACCAATGGTCATAATTTATTATTAAGAAATAATATTATGACAAATATGCTACAAATGTTTATATTTTTTTAAACAGTCATAGTTACCGTTATTAGTTATTTTACTGATTATTATCTATTCGTTCAGTTGAATCATTTATAGAAGATTACTCTAAATAAAACACATCAAACTTACCCAAAAAAATAAATAGACGCAATAATTTTAAATCAAATATTTTATTTGTCCTAATAAACGGTAAAATAGTCTAAAGGAATAAATAATCAAAAATCAGCTATAATAGTGAATATGATTTACTATATTAGACGCNCACCGTTCTTAGTTATTTTACTGATTATTATATATTCGTTCAGTTGAATCATTTATAGAAGATTACTCTAAATAAAACACATCAAACTTACCCAAAAAATTTAATAGACGCAATAATTTTAAATCATATATTTTATTTGTCCTAAAAAAAGGTAAAATAGTCTAAAAGAATAAATAATCAAAAATCTCCTACAATAGTGAATATGATTTACTATATTAGACGCAAATACTTGTTTAGACTAAAATATATATAATTTTTTAATCTATAATTATGACTATAGATGTATGAATAATTTACCGTTGCCTCATTAAATATATATGATTATACTTACTTTATTTCATGTTCAAAATAAAATATGCTTGTTTTTAATAAACGTCAATAAAATTCAAATCCAGGATTTTAATAAGGAAACTTGATCAAAATTTTACACTAGTTATAGTATTTACAAACATTTCTTAAAAAAATATATCTTAGTAAAAACAAACTAATATTTTCCATGCGGAAAGAATTTCAGTAAATTGTTAATTAAAATATATCTAAATTAACAGTAAATTATTACTATTATTATAATTAATGTAATAAATTTAAAATACTGTAGAACGATGCGAAATCAGAATTATTATACAGAAATAAAATAATTTACATTTTACATAAAACTGGATTTGACACAATAATAAGAAACACTTAGAAATATTGTATTAGTAATCAAATTACATGCATTAATTTCCACTCTCATCCTTTTATCATTTCCTCGATAAACGCCGAGTGTGTTTATTACCTATCAGCCTAATGGTTCGCACTAAATGGATAACATTGGTGTAATATGATGAATCCGTTAAATTATTTTCGCAACGCTGCCGATGACAGGTGAACGTCACTTCGTGCCGCGTAGTGTAATGCGTATCCATAGTAGTATAGAATCGTCAATAAAAAAATAACAATGATAAAATTATAGGTAACGTATAATTGTATAAACGAGGGAAAAAACGGTATCTTAATGTTGCATACACCTACATAGCCTTCCTATAAGATACACACACGCACATCGAGCTCGAATTACTAGATATTTCCTTGTCGATCAAAAAAAAAAACCGTCAGTTATTCTATGCTTACCCTCGTGGACTTCTTTATTTCTCGAATGCACGCGATCCGGATCTACACGCGGTGTCTAAGCACACAATTGAAAGACAGGAAAATTACCTTCATCTGTCATCGCGGGGGCTCTTGTCCGTTTATAGACGTGTACGCGGTAACGTGTGGAAATGAGTATTGCACCGAACGAGACATGATCATTTTGATAGATAATTTTATTCATAAACCCAAATCAATAACTGCTGTCTAACCCCATTTGTCATCGCCAACATGCTCAATAATTATTATCGTTTAGGGGTCTCAAATCTATAACACAGTTTTAGTGAATAATAGGATTGAGCACGAGTATTATATTTTAAAACGTTAATTGGTTCCGCCGTTGATAAAATAATAATTTGTGTGCTCGTATACATACAGGTGAGCGAAACCGGATAGGTATGGACACAAAAGTGCACCTGCTACAGTTACGAGTACACACACCTACATACTATGCATTACTACAACCACCCCGAGGGTTAATACACGTATAACGAACGTTTAAAGGATGTAAATATTATCTAAATATACGCGTCCGTCTCCTGCAAATCGGCTGTGTAGCTTTTCACCTGTGGACTCGTGCGTTTACCCATAATTGTAGGTAAATCTATTTATGACTTATGATTGTCATACAGCTTACGAGGCAGCACACACACACACACCGGAAAACGGGTCTTATCTGGCCGTAAAAATTAAAACACCGACGGAAGAGCTTCAGCCCCCTCGATTAGTATATTACCTAATGAACGCACAACTACCGACTCGAGCCGCGGTACTCGTCGACGGCAGAAGTGCTAAACAAACTAGCGCAAAGACTAAGCGAGTCAATTGGTCGTATCAATATTTACACACGTATAGCTCCTGGAAATCCATAAACGGGTTCTCCTCTTCGTGCTGAGAATCGAACGTCGGAAGTAACTTCTCGTGTAATATATTCTTCAGCGGTTAGATATCTTAAGTTGGTGTAGCAACTAAACAGGTGTGCGCGGTCGGATTTTTTTGATATTTTTAAGTCTTAAACAGCCGTCATAAATTTTGTGCGTATCCTGTGGATTGAATACTCTTCACTATCCATTAAAAAATACCAGAGAATTGAAATGTTTGAGTTTCAAAAATTAGTTAATGAAAAAAATTTTAAGAGGTCTAGACAAACACTGCTGAACTATCCCTATCTGATATCATATCCACAATAAGATCCCTCAAAAATAAATCTACCCATTCGACTGTTCAGTAACGTCAAACGAACGATAAATGGATATCACACGATCTGAAAGCAGTATAAGCGCTGCGAGTGTTTCTAAAAAAAATCAAAGTAGTCATTTGGATGCGCTCCAACCACATTACATTTTATTTAAGCATACGATCATCGATCCCATAAAGTTTGTGTTCTAATTAACAGATTATAGAATTTATTTTTACATTTTCATTAATTCCTGTTTAAAAGTGTTATAAAATTAAACTGCAGATTAACAGATATTAGACATCAGTAGTCTAATATGAGAAAAAATAGGATCAGCAGTCTTAAAATGACATTCACATTTTTTATTAGTTAAACTTTTTTTTAGAATCTAAATGATTATAAAAAATAGCACAATGTTAAAAATTCATTTCATTAACTGAAAGTTTATTGTATGAGACAAATTTGCGTAATAGGTCAATTAGTGGCACAAAGTTGTTATTATTAGCTTAAGAAATATAAAATTATGAATAAAGTTATATTATACTGTGCACAGTTGTAGGAAAGATATTTGGTCCGTTTAATTTGAAAAAATTAATGTAAATGACCTTAATTATTTTTTTCTGTTAAGTTACTTGACAAAGTTATTTACCTATTTTAACAAACGAACTTAATTAAAAAATTTTTAAGTTTATACTCTGACTTTATCTTTTAATTGCACTAAACAGAATTAATTACATGATTTCAAAGAAAAATATTCTAAGTTATATAATCAAACGTTAAAAAAGTAAACATCTCACCACTATACAGAATGGAACAGATCTTATTGACAAATCTTATAATTTTTGATATAATTAAAATTATCATTTTTTTACGTTTATTTTAATACATAGAGAGAACCCAACCAGCTGTACCCACTCCATATATTAAAACTCAATAAGTTCTCGTCCTAAAGTTATCGACC